GAAGGGGAGAGGGGGAGAGAGGGGGAGAGGGAGACATCGATGTGAGAGTGATACATAAATCAGTTGCCTCTAGTAAGCACGCTGCCTTGGGCCCGAAACCTGGCATGAGCCCTGACCAGAAATCAAACCAGCTCAACCAACTGGTGAGTAAATGATTATCTAATTTAATTATATTTATTCCTTTATTTTTACTTTTTAAAATATATTTTTATTGATTTCAGAGAGGAAGGGAGAGGGAGAGATAGAAACATTAATGATGAGAGAGAATCATCATCAGCTGTCTCCTGCACGCCCCTACTGGGGATCGAGCCTGCAACCTGGCATGTGTCCTTGACCAGAATCAAACCTGGAACCCTTCAATACACAGGCCAATGCTCTAACCACTGGGATAAACCAGCTAGGGCTAATTATATTTATTTGTTAAAGTTATATAACAGTCAGTGCAAAATCTAGACTCGTCTTTTTGCCCCAGGGATGCAGCAAACAGCCACCTTAAATGTATATTTTAGGAAGAAAAAGTTAATTTAACAAGTCACCAAAAGACAGTGTTTACAGTGTAATTTATTTTCATTTCAAGTCTTCCTTTTGGAATCTAAATACTACTAACAGAGTAGAAGACCCGTTGTAATCTGTCAGTCAGCCCAGCCTGCAGGTCCACAGCAGCCGACCTAATATCTTGTATTTCTTCTTAGAGGAGGTGAGAAGGGGTGAGAGGACTGAGTTACAATTAGTACTTTTGTGCCCCAATCAGTGCTCAACCTTGGTGACATGGTTATTTACTGACTGCTCTTGCAAAGGCCAAACACGTTCTACTATGAGACAAATAATCAAAAGGCACCAGTGCTCTAAGAAGGTGGAATTGGGAGGGAAAAGGTAACAATCAGGAAAATACTGATAGTTACCAAAATAAAGACAAAGAATTCACAGTAGGGTTCTGGGTAACTAAACAAAATACAATAAAGTCAGTGATATCTAATTTACAAGACAATAGAGGAAAGATACTATTGAAATCAACTTCATTTCTAATCATCTGAGCTATTTTGGTTCAGCATAAAACAGTATCTGGGTCACAATGGAGAAAAAAGTTGATTAGTATTTCAAAGAGGAATTTTTTTCTTAGCAAGCGTGTGAAAAAGTGACCTACCTGGCCCCTCATCACAGACATCTGACTTTCAAAAGTGGCTTTGTTAAATCTTTTGTCAGTCTATCACAGAAAAGAAAAAAAAATCATTATAATTACAAAATTCAAGATCTTTGAATCAAATATTTGAAAACAAATGAACTCTTTCAACTTGGCCCCTAAGGTCATTAGAAAGTTTTTACCTGAGGTATTTTTGTATACCCCTAGAATGATAAGAATAGTTTATTTATACTCTAACTTGTTCCAGGAAGGATTTAAAATGACACTCTAGCCCAGCAGTTCTCAACCTGTGGGTCGTGACCCCTTTGGAACACACATATATAATTATATATTGTTTTTGTGATTAATCACTATGCTTTAGTTATGTTCAATTTGTAACAATGAAATTGGGGGTCACCACAACATGAGGAACTGTATTAAAGGGTCGTGGCATTAGGAAGGTTGAGAACCACTGCCAATGAGTTTAGGTTTTTTTGAAAGAAGTAAATTATTACAGGTCACCAAACATTTGTTATAATTTTTAGAGTCATTACTTAAATATCCAACTTTTGAAGAAAATAACTTCTCAAGTTTTAAGTTTCACTTCAAAGAATACTCACAGTTAAGTGTAACTTCACAAATTTATGCTCCTGCAGAGTAAGAGTAAAACTGCTAATTTCTTTCTGTTATGTCAAGTTCTACTGCAAGAAGTGATACCAAAAACAGTAAACTGCAAATTAACTCTATCGAGAAAACCTCTTCTATTTTAAGATTTCATTTTCTGTAATAATTAAAACTAAAAATTTATTTACCTTAAAAAGTTCATAGAGATCTTCACATAAATCTTGCACAAAATTCATGTCAGAAATATTTGGTAGAACCAAGTTTCTTGTTTCTTCAGAAAAAGGAACTTTTGCTTGAGGAAGCCAAGCCCAGTGAAATGGATCTAACAGAAAAAAAGGTTTCTAATTAGAGGGGGAAAGGGTGTATTTTGACCCACATTTATCTTAGTTCTTTTGTTTTGTTTTTTTATTTTGTATATCCTGGTTCTTTTCCTACAATTCCCAGGTTCTCAAAAAACAAACACAAAAAACAGACAGGAGAGAGAAGTTGTCAGAGAACAATTATCCGTTGCTATCTAGATTACTCAGATTCCAAGTTTGGATTTTCAATTCAGACAACAAAACACAAGGTTTTACCTGAAGTAGTTAGGTTTCTGGGTTTTAAAGAGTAAGTTTTGATATGAGTCTATTTCAAACAGCCCTATATAAATACATATATTTGAATCTCTGGTTCCTAAGTTTGGAAATTAAGAGCTATAATCTGTTTAGAGCTCTAGATCAAAAACTTGTTGGCTGAGGTCTCCCTGCCCTTCCAGCCACAAATCATCAGGAATTGGCCACACACACACACACACACACACACACACACACACCACGACCACCACAACACACGATCTTCTAAAATTTTAAATCATTTGTAGGTAAATAGGTGATTAGCTTTAAGGGATAAAAGACCCGCCATTCCCAGCTAACTGTAGTTCTCTTCCAAGAGGACCATTATCTCCACAGCCAGGACTAAAAGATTAGTAAAGCAGTAAGAGAGTATATTCAGTTTCCTGCGTATCTCCCTGAAGTTATATCCAATTTTTATTGTTCCCTCATCAATTACATCAAAAGAAAAGCCTTTATTCTAACTCCTGACTCTACTTCCAATCCCTACCCCACAATTTTACTATCACTCTCTCCCACCAGTGATCGCATGGGAGCCTCTTCAAAGGTCCATTTGCAGTCCTCATCTACTTAATGTCTCTGTATCACATAGCACTGTTTTCGATCATCTCCTGATTTCCTAATGTGCCTTTGGAGATACCACTCTCAAAGTTTACCTTCTGTCTTTTAAGTCACTTCTCTCCTAGGATGGCTTTTCTTCTCCAATGTCACCACTCCCTCAGATTCTATCCTTACTCCTTTTTTCTTGTTCATTTACAGAACAACCATGAAACACTGAATACTTACGTACTTTGAATTATCCTAGTGATGGTTTGTTCACCATGATTTCCCTGGGTAATAGCAAACAACACCATGGCTCCCACTACCAAGGTGACAGTTTAAAAACTATATCCTCAATACTATTTCTTCTTTCAAGTTCAAAGACCCTCAATCCCCAACTGTGTGTTTGATAAAATTTCCCACATGTATTGTAGGTAACTTTAACTTAACACTTTTAAAGTGCAATATGTATACAAATTCCAAATCATTAGAGAAAAATAAATGAAACGAAGACATATCAGGTCAGTTCAATAAAAATAGGAAAAAAAGAAATAATTGGAATTTAAGGTAAAAAAAATAAGATGGCAGTAAAAGTTCAAAATATCAATAGTTTATTGAGATAAGCTACAGAATTAAGTGTACCTATTACAAGAATCTCAGGCTAGGTTAAAAAATATCTGGCTAAGTGATGTTTATGAGTCATATACTTAAAACAAAATAATGAACGTTAAAAATAGAAGTATAGAATAATACCAGGTAAATGCTAATAAAAAGAAATAAAGTATACCAGTGTTGCAACAGACAAAAAAACCGTAAGAGGAATAAAGCAGGATATATTTCACACTGATAAAAGAACAAACCACAGGCAAAATAAAGTGCTGGGCCATTAGGAATGTGAAATACAAAGCAAAAACTGTATAGAAATGTAAGAAATTGACAAAATCACAATCACAATGAACTTTAACTTTCTCTCCAAAATTAACATATCAAATAGTCAAAAAATAAGTCAAGAATATGATTTGACTAACAACTAAAAAGCTTTAATTGTGCCCAAACACATTCTTTTCAAATACAGTCCTTCAAATTGGCCATATATTAGATTACATAGAAATTATTAACAAGTGTCAAAAAGTAGATTTCACACAGACACATTCACAGATCAAAAAGTAAGAAAACTTGAAAATAACAATGGACAGTTTTTTAAAAAAATCAACTGATCTAGAAAGTTTACAATCGAACAAAATACTTCTAAATTACTCCTGTCAAAAAGAAAATCTGGCCCTAGCCGGTTTGGCTCAGTGGATAAACCATCGGCCTGCGGAATGAAGGGTCCTGGGTTTGATTTCAGCCAAGGGCACATGCCTGGGTTGTGGGCTCAATCCCCAGTGTGGGGAGTGAAGAAGGCAGCCAATCAATGTTTCTCTCTCATCATTGATGTTTCTGTCTCTCTCTCTCCACCTTCCTCTCTAAAAAAAAAAAAAAAAAAAGTGTAAAAAAATTTAAAGAAAATCTGAAAGTATGAATCTATAAAGCAGAATAATAGAGCAGCATGCCCAATCTATGGCTTAGTCAAAATGATACCTAAAGAAAAACATATAGGAAAGCAATATAGGATAAATACAGAAGAAAATAATAATGGAAAACAAATTATCAACAAAAAAGCAAAAGCAAATAAACTGAAAATTTGATCAATATTTTATAATAGACAAATCTTTGGTAACTCTAATGAAGAAAAAAAGGCTACTAATGAACAGTAGAAATTTAAGAGAGGCATAGTCATAGATACAGAGATTACTTTTAAAATTTATTACACATATTTTAAACATATACAAAGATAGAAAAAAACTAGTACTATGAGCTCCCATATTCTGAATAACCCAATTCAATTATTCCCAAATTTCTATAAAATTGGTTTCATCTATCCTCAAGTATTTTAAGGCAAATTCCAGACAACAATTCACCACTAAATACTTAGTAAAACAGAGAAATTTTCTTATTTATAAAAAAATTATATAAAAAACTTTATACCCATAAATCTCAACTCAATATATGGACAATTTTAAGCAAAATAAACATGTCTAAAACTGGCTTAAGAAGACACAGAAACCAGACTTTTGAGACATAGAAACCAAACCAGTAGAGACTGGTAAGACAGTTAAAGCACCAGTCACTAAAAAAAGGGGGAGGGAGCTAAGACTTAAATTGTTTTATCAGTGAATGTTCCCCAAAACATTAAAATAAAGCTCTACCAAAGTGTTAAACAGATAATTACCATGTTATTTATATACTAGAGGCCCGGTGCATGGATTCGTGCACTGGTAGGGTCCCTCGGCTTGGCCTGCAGGGATCGGGCCGAAACCGGCTCTCCGACATCCCCCGAGGGGTCCTGGATTGCGAGAGGGCAGTTCTCTGGTGACGCACCCCAGAATCGAGCTCCCTCCTCTCTGGTTCTGGGTACATCACCCGAGAACCGCAGCTGCCAAGTCACCTGGTGGTCAGTGCGTGTCATAGCTACCGGTCGGATGGTCAGACAGTCGCTTAGGCTTTTATACATATAGATAATATATATATTTATCATATATATATTTAAATTTGGAAAGCTATCAAAGTTACTTTACAATGCTAACACAAGCCAAAAAATCAAAACCAGACACAGTTAACTAAAGATAAGTGAAAATACATGGTAAGTCCCATGTAGCACACATCTCTGCATCTAGTGCCTAAAATTAAGTCCTAATGAATGATATGTCACCTGGTTTTTATTCTGCCAGTTTAATGATCATAAATTTTGTTCCCTTCCTTTTCTGGAAAAAGGGTAATTAGAGAACCTACAGAAGGTTCTAAATACTCACATGCTCTCCACTCATCAGGATGTTTAAAAGGAAATGCTAGACCATTATCAATTGCAGCTACTTTAATAAGCGATTCTTTCTCATCAACCCATTCTGCTTCCTAAAATGAAGAAAAATGGTCTGTTGATAAAAAAATGTATATAAACATTTTCAACAGATAAAGTATTTATAGTAATTACTGAGGTTTAAATACACTTTATCTGAAGAGTCTATATAAAAAATAAGTCCCCAGTAAGTTCAAATTCACCATTAAAAGGCAGAGGCTGTCTTAAAAATCAGTAAGAATTTCAAATCACTAGTGAAAAATTTTATATTACAAATTTAGGTAGTAATGGTCTGTTTTTTCCCCCCTCTTTAGGGAGGAGGGCTTGGAATTATTAAGTCATAAAGTATTACTCTGGCCCTAGCTGGTTTGGCTCAGTGGATAGAGCATCGGCCTGTGAAATCAAAGGTCCTGGGTTTGATTCTGGTCAAGGGCACAAGCCCAGGTTGCAGGCTCCATCCCTAGTAGGGGGCGCGAGCAGGAGGCAGCTAATAAATGATTCTCTCTCATCGTTGATGTTTCTATCTCTCGCTCCCTCTACCTTCCTCTCTGAAATCAATAAAAATATATATATTTTAAAAAGATGTATTTTTCTGGGTAATTATTGCTCAATGCATTGCTTAAATCAGGGGTGGGCAAACTTTTTGACTCGAGGGCCACAATGGGTTCTTAAACTGGACCGGAGGGCCGGAACAAAAGCATGGATGGAGTGTTTGTGTGAACTAATATAAATTCAAAGTAAACATCATTACATAAAAGGGTACAGTCTTTTTTTTTTTTTAGTTTTATTCATTTCAAACGGGCCGGATCCGGCCCGCGGGCCGTAGTTTGCCCACGGCTGGCTTAAATGTATGAAAGTTACAAAATATGGACATTTTAAACAACTCAATAAGTTACCTTATTAAAACCTAGTCTTTTGTAGGGGCCCATAGAAATAATTCATTTAAAATACAAAACATTTCTAAACAGTACTGCCCAAAGACTATAGCTAAGTATAATAAGGTCCAGTAGAAGGAACCTCAAGAAACTCTTGATTACAGAACCTAGGCCATTCCTAACTTCTATATTCCTCTATAGCAGAAACAAAGACTTCAGGAGCAAGAAGGTTTATGTGTTAAAGAGTACTTCCTATTATTTAAAGATAGACAGTTGCCATTATCAAGTGGCCTAGGTAAAATAATAAAAGGTAAATTTGATAATTTTAAAATTAAAAGTAGATGAGTGAGAAAAATGCCGTGGTACATTAACACAATGGAATACTACCTGGCTGTGAAAAGGAAGGACATCTTACCTTTTGCAAGAGCAGGGATGGACCTGGAGAGTATTATGCTAAGTGAAATAAGCCAGATATCATATGATTTTACTTATATGTAGAATATGAACAAAATAAACTAACAAACAAAAAGAAATGAACTTACTAGGAATATATCCCAAGAAAACAGAAACACCAATCAGAAAGGATATATGCCCCCCTATGTTCATAGCAGCACAATTTACCATAGCTAAGATCTGGAAACAGCCTAAGTGCCCATCAACAGATGAATGGATTAGAAAACTGTGGTACATCTACACAATGGAATACTATGCTGCTGTAAAAAAGAAGGAATTCTTACCATTTGCAAAAGCATGGATGGAACTGGAGAGCATTATGCTAAGTGAAATAAGCCAGTCAATGAAAGAAAAATACCACATGATCTCGCTCATTTATGGATAATTAAGACCATTATAAACTGATGAACAAAAATAGATACAGAGGCAAAGCAAAATCGAACAGACTGTCAAACTACAGCGGGAAGTCCGGGGAGGGTTGGCGGTAGGGGGGAGTGAAGGGGTGGTGTAAGAGATCAACCGAAGGACTTGTATGCATGCATATAAGCATAACCAATGGACACAAGACACTGGGGAGTAGGGGAGGCCAGGGGAAGGTCAAGGGGAGAAAAAAAAAGGAGACATATGTAATACTCTTTGTAATACTTTAAGCAAAAAAATAAATAAATTAAAAAAAAACACACGAACTTATAGCTAGAGGACAAACTGACAGCTATCAAGAGGGGAGAGGGGTTGGGAGGCTGGGTATAAAAGGTGAAGGGATTAAGCAAAAAAAAAAACAACAAAAAACCAACCAACCAACCAAACAAACAAACAAAATAACCTCATAGACACAGACAACAGTATGATGATTACTAGAGGGGAAGGGAGTTAGCAGTAGGTGAAGAGGGTAAAGGGAGAATAAATGGTGATGAAGGATTCTTGAAGTGGGGTGGTAAACACACAATACAATATACAGATGATTTATTATAGAATTGTACACCTGAAACCTATATAATTTTATTAAGCAATGTCACCCCAATAAATTAAATAAATATTTTTTAAAATTTAAAAGTATTAGAGTAAAGGTTTGTGTGATATATGTCAGGTTTATTTCCTTTAGTTTATATCAAATATCTCACTGAAAATGCACAAAATACTTAAAAGCAAAATAATGAAGTCTTCAGTAAAATCTAATTGCTCAAGATATACCAATATAAATATGTATATTTAAGTCTGTATTTTAAACCCATTTCTGCTATAACTGGCATTTATTTTTATTTCTATCATTTTTTCTGCTTACAACTCTATTGAGGCATAATTCACACATAATATAAACTTCACATATTAAGTGTACAATTTGTTAAGCACTAATAGATGTGAAACCTTCACCCAAAAGTTCCTTGTGTCCCTTTGCAGTCCCTCCTTCCCTCTACCCACCCCAGGCAATCACAGTCTGCTTTCTGCCATAGGAATTTAGTTTGCTCTCTTTGGAGTTTTATAAACTGGAATCAGACAGTATGTTCTTTTGTGTGCAGCTTCTTTCTTTTTTTTTTTTTAATTTTTTTAAAATTCTTCACTCAGTTTTTTATTTTTTTGTTATTTTTATTGATTTCAGAGAGGAAGGAATGGAGAGGGAGAGAGAAATAGAAACAGAAAGAATCATTGATCGGCTGCCACCTGCACGTCCCCTATTGGGGATCGAGCCCGCAACCCAAGCATGTACCTTTGACCGGAGTCGAACCCGGGACCTTTCAGTCTGCAGGCTGACACTCTATCCACTGAACCAAACTGGCTAGGGCTGTGTGCAGCTTCTTTCACTGCTTCTTTTACTCAGCAGGATTTTGAGATTCATCCACATTACTGCCTATATTGAGTTTGTTCTTTTTATTGCTAAGTACTATGACTATGAAGTTTTAAATTTCTTTGATAAACACTAAAAAAAAATAGAAACTTTCTAGAGTGATGCCATGGCTTTAAGTGATGAGAACACAGATTATAAGTATTGGAGGAATTATTTTTTTAACTAGTTGGAACTTTCTCAAATGTATAGACTGCTTTAAACCAGTAAAACTATTCTAAAAATATCTCTTATCCAAGTATTTAAAATTATGTAAATATTTAAAACTTTTGTCAAAGTCGACAAAAATTTATCTAAATTCTATCCTTCTGATGGTATTATGGGTCTATGCAGTCCATTATGTGTACACTAAACCCAGATTCTTATATAAGTAGTACATTTTTTTAAGTTCAATGTATATGATGCACAGGTAAAGCACACATATTCCATAGTACTATATGTCCTAATAATGATTCATAAGATTCAGAGAAAGAAGTGAATTAGTAATATATAAACATGACCCAGAAAAAATACCAGAAGCCTTTATTACATAAAAGCAAAATAAAACTGGTCCTACAAAAAATTCTCAAGCTCTATAATAAGTATGGTACCAATATGGTATCATTCTATTCTAATGCAGCATAAAAAAATAAAGTTGCATGAAGATATTTAAAAAGAATAGAATTTAAAAAATACTAGTATAAACAAGGGAAAAAAAGAAAAAAGATGAAGAAAAATAAAACACAAAAAAAGGAGATAAAAACCAAGGATCTGAGTGAAGGAAATGAGAAAATTATGAAGAGTAACTTCAAGGAATCTTTTACAGAAATTGATTGTGTGTGTGTGTGTTCACATATATATGTATGTATTCTTTTTAAGTCTCCTTACCTTAATTTCCTTTCCATTTTTCTTCTTTTCATATTTGATTAACCAATTATCATTTCCCCTGTCTTTCAAAACAGCAAAAATAAAACAAAACAAAACAAAAATCTGTTACTTTTTTTTAAATGGGTATCATAGCTTAATATCAAGGGGAAAAATAGTCAGTCACTTCTTGATTTTCAACTGTCATTGGTTATCTGTGACATATATTTATATATTAAAACTCTAATTAACACAACAAAAATGTTACAAATTAAAAAATGTTAGCTAACATTTATGTGCATTTACTCTGTGCCAGATATTTTGCTAGTGCTTAACATGCATATATATTTTATTGACTTCAGAGAGGAAGGGAGCGGGAGAGAGAGATAGAAACATCAATGATGATAGAGAATCGACTGGCTGCCTCCTGCACACCCCCTACTGGGGATTAAGCCTGAAATGCAGGCATGTGCCCTGACAAGGAATTGAACTATGACCTCTTGGTTCATACGCTCAACCACTGAGCCACACAGGTTGGGCAACATATATTAATTCATTTAATTCTCATAACGACTCTATGAGGTAGATACAATGATGGTCAAAGCTATTAAATCAAGGTTATTAAAATCAGGGATAATTTTTCTCTGCCTTAGAAAGAAAAAGCATCTAACCCCATTACCAGGAGTATGGTAATACTCTCACCTAATGTCTATACACGAGTATTCTAGACTCTACACTAATTTTAACTTTAACCTAAAACCATATTAATTAAGATTTTAGCCGAAACCGGTTTGGCTCAGTGGATAGAGCGTCGGCCTGCGGACTGAAAGGTCCCGGGTTCGATTCCGGTCAAGGGCATGTACCTGGGTTGCGGGCACATCCCCAGTGGGGGGTGTGCAGGAGGCAGCTGATCGATGTTTCTCTCTCATCGATGTTTCTAGCTCTCTATCTCTCTCCCTTCCTCTCTGTGAAAAATCAATAAAATATATTAAAAAAAAAAAAAAAAAGATTTTAAATCTAGAAAAGTACATATTATTTTTTGAGAAATCAATATAAATGAGTGACTATTTGAACCCGTGGTTCTCAAACTTCAGAGTGCAGCAGAATTACCTGGAAGACTTGTTAAAATACAAACTTCTGGCCCCGGCATGCAGTTTCTGTGCCAGTAGGTCTGGGGTGGGCTACTAGAAGATGCACGTGTAACAAGTCCCCACATAACACTGACCTTATAGGCCAAGGACCACATTTGGAAACCACTGTGTTACATTACCTACATCACTGCTCCCTTCCAGTGCATAAAAAATTAAGAGTTTAATGTATTTATAGGCTATACTAAGTTATCTACAATCAAAATAAGCATCTAAAATAATTTATACAATCAAGTTTTAATTATTCATATTATGCAGACAGCATTTCTGATAACTGGCTTTGTCCAGCTGCCAAGAAACACCACACTATGGATAGAAACTGATCACGATCACCAGGACAGGAGCCTGCTTTGAATCAGGATCTCCAATTCTGCCAAACGGGTCAGGACCGACTGCATCTCTCTTTTCGAAGGCAGGTAAAGAAAAAGTGGCCTCAAGACTTCTGCATCAAAACCTTATGTCTTTGATTTGGATGACAGGAGTTGAATACAGTTGGAAAGCTAACAAGATTTGACTGAACAAAGGAGAGAACTTTAATACCTGTATTTCTGATGATGTAATCCAAAATCACTAATCTTTCAAATTGCGACTGAAATTGTTTTCTAGTATTCTCAGGCAAAGGGTCAGCTTCAAATTTCCTAAGCCAAAATTCGGCCTCCTTGTAACCTTCAACAAATAACTGAAAGGAACCAATCTATAATTTTAAGAACTATAGTTAGAAAAGAAAGTACAAGAACGAAGGGATTATTTTTAAAATTTCTCAGCAGTATCATAAAATATATAAACACAACAAGAAAAATAGAAGAGTTAACACTAATTTAGATAAGCCATATTTATCAAGAACACTATTTTTACACACTAATGCTAAATAATCACATAAAGAATACATAGCACAGCCCTGACTGGTTTGGCTCAGTGGATAGAGCATCGGCCTGGGGACTGAAGGGTCCCGGGTTCGATTCCGGTCAAGGGCATGTACCTTGGTTGCGGGCACATCCCCAGTAGGGGGTGTGCAGGAGGCAGCTGATCGATGTTTCTCTCTCATCGATGTTTCTAACTCTCTATCCCTCTCCCTTCCTCTCTGTAAAAAATCAATAAAATATATTTTAACAACAACAAAAAAAAAGAATACATAGCACATAAAAAATGTTCAAGGAGCATAGCAGCTATTTTAGGATAAAAAGCATTTCTACCACTAAAATTATTGTTGTTAACATTAAAGGAAATACAAATTTAAATAGCACACAACAGCCCAGCCTGTGTGTGGCTTAGTGGTTGAGCATCGACCCCATGCACCAGGAGGTCACTAGTTCAATCCCCAGTCAGGGCACATGTCCAGGTTGCAGGCTCGATCCCAGTGGGGGCATGTGGAAGGCAGCCAATTGATGTTTCTCTCACATTGATGTTTCTATCTCTCTCTCTCCCTTTCCCTTCCTCTCTCAGAAATCAATAAAAACATATTTAATAAATAAATAAATAAATAAATAGCACACAACACACAGATAAGGGGTGACCTAGTTGGCCTCATAAATACAAACAAATCACCACAAAGAAAATCTATTTTTTACCCTTTCTTAACAATTTATTGTCTTCTTGTTGGCATGAAATTTTAATGATTTCCTAAAGGTTTTCTCTAAAGCACTGATAATTAAGTCCTAGTAGTCATAAATATGTAAATAATATTCTTTTTTAGTCACATTTATTTCAGCATATCCAAGGAGTAACAGGCTTTGTAAAAATTTTCCAACTCCTTGCTTACTTGGAGTACAATTTTAAAAATAAGTTAGACTGACCATGAATTTCTATTCGAATTCTTTTATCTAGATCAGCGGTTCTCAACCTGTGGGTCGCGAACCCTTTGGGGGTCGAACAACCCTTTCACAGGGGTCGCCTAAGACCATCGGAAAACACATATATAATTACATATTGTTTTTGTGATTAATCACTATGCTTTAATTATATTCAATTTGTAACAATGAAATTGGGGGTCACCACAACATGAAGAACTGTATTAAAGGGTCTCGGCATTAGGAAGGTTGAGAACCACTGATCTAGATAAATGCACAGCTGTAACAACAAAACTGCAGGTCAAACAAACAAACAAAAAACCCCTAGATCTTTTTCTAATATACCTTTCTCATTAACCCTTCCCACCCTTGCTTAGCTAGCTGCTAATCATCCCTTAGTTTTATTTAAAAGTGGTAAGAAAAACCAAAAGCTAATATGTAGTGAGTAAACATAGTTACTACCATTTACTTTTGTATGGGCTAGGACTATACCAAGTACTTGACAGAAATCTCTTCATTTTATCCTCACAACCCTAAGAAGTAGGTTCGATCATTCCCCCATTGTATAGAAACTGGGGCTAGGAGTTTAAGGAACTAGCCTCAGGTCTCAGAGCTAACTGATAGAGAGGCTGGGAGTGAAATCTAAGTTTGACTCTGAATCTGTGCTCTAGCCATTATTTTATAAAGCTATAGATGCAACCTCCTCTTGCAAACATTCGCTAATCCTCCAAAATGGGTTACATATCCCTCCTCTATTCTGAGTTCCCGGCACTTACTATTTTGCATTGAGACTGCTTCTTTACTATAAAGCTCTTTGAAGATGAAAAAATTGTTTTCTTTACTATTCTATCCGCAGCCCAGAGCACAATACCTAGCACATGGAGCTCAGGTAATAGGTGCTGAATTGGCCCCCAAATAAAGCTTATCACAGTAACTTACCTTCGGAGGGAGTCCTATTCGGTGAAATTTTCTACCTACTTTTGGCACTTTCTCTAAAGCATACTTTTTGCCTCTAGCTTTTGCACGGTCAATTGTACTGTAGTTAAATGTCTCACTGCCAAGCCAAACCACCTAGAAACATATGGTTTAGAAAAATAGTTATTAGAATTTGCATAATAGTATTTATATTCATATACATTATGAAACTCACTTGAATACTATAAATTAGCCAATTTTAATCCTATACGAAATGCCTCAGAGAATCTAAAATAGAAAGCTAAGGGATTTTGCAGTCAATTAAATGGCACATCTTTCTCTCTGAGAGAAGCAGCCTAAAATTAGCCAGTGGGAGAAAGAAGTAACAGTCTTGAAATGTACAATTAGGAATGAATATTTTGAGGAAGTTTCTAAGGAAAAACAGTCTTTTGAGCACATTAGTTATCTCTACCTTTAACAGAATTTCTAGATCCCTGATCTTTACCTGCTTTTTAAAAACTAGTTCTTTTTCCTCTTTTGTTAGCATCACCTCAGCTCATGTGTGCAAGAGACATTCATTCCCTTGAGCACTTGGTGGCTCTACACTAGAATCGATTTGTTAGTCCCTCATGACTCTGAATTACCAAAAAAGGGAGTTCAATTTTAGGCTCTGTCATTAGAAATATGTTCAGAGAACCAAAGTCCATGCTTAAAAACAAATTCTCCTTTACCCTTGTTTTTGGTACAATGCCCAGATGAAGCTTTTCATCCACTAGGGAGGCAGCAGCTTCAGAAAGGTATCCCTGGTTAGGAACCAAGCAGCCTCTGCCAAAGCAGCAAGGGCAGCAGACCTTATGAATATATTTGGTCCATTTTGGATTCAGTTGACTATAAGGCTCTTCCGATTTGGGTTTAAACACACCAATAGTTTTCTATAGGGGAAAAAAGTAGAAAATTTTATTAGACTTCTAATATAGAGATAATAATCCATAAAGTTCATTCTGATAAATCTTCCCAACACAGACTTGGACATAAAACCCTTAGATATTAAGGGATTTAGTTTCAATCACATTTTTACATTCATTCTCATTCAACAGTCTAAAATCAATAATCCCTGGGGCTAGTGGTTTTCAAACTGTGCTCTTGAGAAACCCTGGGAAAGGTGAGAGGGGAGGTGAGGCCAGGGCTCCAAGACCTCATGACAATTAACCAGATAGACTTCCATGCCTCCTGTTTTATATTACTGGCCTTCCAAATTATTAAAAGATTCCACTGATTTTAAAATGTGTGAAAACTTCTGATCTAGATCAGTTATTATTCAGTATCTGTTAAATATCCAAATTATGTTATTTTGTTTACTACCTACTTTTCCCACTTAATGTATATGCTAAAAGGGCAGGAACTGTCTTAGAACTGTATCCCAAGAACTCAGAACAGTACTTGACACATGGCAGGCATTCAATCATGTTAAATTAATAAATCTAATGACAAAATGTGTTCTCTACACAGGTGACAAAGATAAAATATGAAGGTAATGACAGGCTATAGCAGCCGTGGGCAAACTACGGCCCGCGGGCCGGATCCGGCCCGTTTGAAATGAATAAAACTAAAAAAAAAAAGACCATACCCTTTTATGTAATGATGTTTACTTTGAATTTATATTAGTTCACACAAACACTCCATCCATGCTTTTGTTCCGGCCCTCCGGTCCAGTTTAAGAACCCATTGTGGCCCTCGAGTCAAAAAGTTTGCCCACCCCTGGGCTATAGTAAACATCTATATTGTCAGATTCTCTGACCCTAATCTTTTTTCCAATTATTTTTTTATGAACCAATTTTAAGTAAATTTTCTCATTTAAAAAAAAATTGCTCATGGAAATCTAATAGTCTCTCTTTACTACTGGTCTGATAAAATATAATCATATTAAATTTAGGGGCTGAATTATCCTTAGATAAGAAGTAAAAATCTTACTATAATTTTAAGTATGTAATTGCTTTATAATGCAAAAAGTCTAAACCACTAGTAAGAAAGTCAACAAGAACAAATTGAGGAATCAAACTTGGAATAAAGATTGAGATTGACATTACCTATATACTTAAAGCTCAAAAAAGACTTTATTTTAAATATAACTTCGATCTTTGCAAAAAAACATCTGGATGAAATTATAATCTCTATTCCTTCTAAAAAAAGGAACTGCTGGCTATGCATCATTCAGAAAGTTTTTATAAATGATAACATCGGTACTGGAAAAATTCTAGACTAAGTGGAACGAAGTCCCATATCAGCTTCTCTTTTCTGCCCTAGAATTATACTTTGATTCATTTCACTTTCTAATGCCTTCAAACTTCAAACTTCCCAGGATCCTTCTCTGGTTGTAATGTGAGGAAAAAATATTCCTAGCGTAAAATAAATCTTTGAAAAAAATCAAGCAACTTGGAAATGCCATTAAACAGATTTTGAAAGTTTAAACTTCTACTTTGCTTGGCTAATAGGGTTATAGACTACTGTAAGGTAAGGACTTATGATACTCAATAAATCTATAGCTGAAAGTGAGTAGATTTCAATCATTTCAATAAATGATTGAAACCAAATGTTAAAACAATAGAGAAAAAAAATCACACACCCACAAAACCTGATCTTTACTTCTAAAAAGAAGGTGCAATCAGATTTATTAAGAAAATATCTTCAGAAACTCACAATCACTCCACATTTAAATTAGTGTTTTCCAAAATTTATGTTATATGTATTAAGTTTGTGAAATTCTCACCCTCTTAGGATCCTTCACAAAGTAACTTCCACTTGAACCTTGAGAGATTCTTTCTGGAAGAACGCCAAATTCTATTGCTTGCTCTGCTTTCGATACAGTATCAGCAAACCCTGGATCATCCAAGAATGAATTCAACTCTGAAGAACCAACATTTACTGCATTGAGAAAAATCAATGTTAATATAGCACATGAAGAAGAAGAAAGACCAGCTAAGAAAATGCTCATGATATGAACCTGTAATATTGGATCAGGCTAATAGCACCAGGACATGAAAGTATAAAAATATAATTATTATATAGGCTGCTTTGATCATCCCTTTTCCCCTCTCTACCCCCACTTCTCTTTAAGCTTCAGGTAATGACACATGGAACACAAGATCCCTATTGGATTAATCACAGTACTATGCACAATACTCTGAACTCCTCTCTTCAGTGATTTTGTTTTCCATTCTACCTAAGTCTCCAACTGCAAGGTCACACCTTAGATTTGTTATTACCAATACCTATAATCTCTCCATACTTAAAATTTCAAGCACCTTATATCTTCCTAATTCACTCTCTCTGGTACCCTGAGCCCCCAAATTCATCCCACCTCACTGAGACCTACAAAGCAGTGACCTAGCATGTTGCCACTGATTTTCAACTCCTTTATGCCCTTATTTCCCTCCTTGGTCAGCTTAAATTAGGGTCAATCATCATATAATCACTCTCTTTCTCTTTGCTCTCATCAGGTCACCTGGAAAACCCCCAATCCTGGTTAAACCCAACTGTCAGCTCACCAAGCCTAGGTTCAGAGAGCTGAACTTGACAAGAGAAACACACACAAACACAATGTCTGGTCTCACTTGAAATCCATCACCGCAAACTTCAGGTGGGTACCATGCTGTTTAGGAAACCCTAATTCCCAATGTTACTGTATCAGAAGATTGGCCTTTCAGAGGTAATTCGGTTTAGATGAGGTCATGAGGATAGGGCCTCCATAAAGAGATTAGTGCACAGAGCTCTCTCTCTCCCTTCCCCTCTGCCATGTGAGGATACAATGAGAAGGTGACCATCTGCAAGCGAGGGAGAGAGCCCTCATCAGAATATGACTCTGCTGGCTCCCTTATCTTGGACTTCCCAGACTCCAGAACTGAGAGGAGTAAATGTCTGTTGGTTAAGCCACCCAGTTTATGCTATTTTGTTATAGCAGCCTGAACTAAGGCAACTCCCCTGGTCCATAGACTCTCCCACTGTTCTGAACATACTCTCCTCTCCTCAAATTCCCAACACCTCCTCTCTCAGCAGTTGATCTAGCTTCCTATTTCACTAAGAAAAGAGAAGCAATCAGAAAAATTATCATTAGCCCTCAGCACCACGTATACCCACCCACGTCCTATCCAGTCATCTACCACTACAGTGAACTGTCCAAGCTCTAAGATCAACTCTTCCACTTTGTGTACTAGACCCTATCTTAGGGACTACTCCAGAACATTTCTTCAGTAATTCATCCCTGCATCAAAATTTCCCTCTCTACTGGATCATTTCTCTCACCCCCCACATCCAATCCATCAGCAATAAATTCCCAATGTTACTGTATCAGAAGATTGGCCTTTAATAAATATCCAGAATCCAACCACCTCTCACCATCTCCATTTCCACCACGTGAATCAAGTCATTATCAACTCTCACCTATGTTATTACAAGTCTCCTAACTAGTCTTCCTTTCACCCATGCCCTTTTCATATTCAACAGAGAAGCTATAGCAATCCTTTTAAAATAAATCAGATCATATCACTCCTTTGTACAAAACAGCACAACGGTTTCTTGTCTCACTTGAAGAAAAAGTACGAGTCCTTATAATGGTCCCCAAGATGCTACCCAATCTCCCTTAACCTCCACTTTAATTTCTTATCACTTAATGTATAATTTACTTATTTGTGAGCTCCAAGAAGACAAGAATTTTTCACCGCCAAAGTCCAGCACTTTTAAAGTTCCTGGAACATAATAGCCACTAAATACACACTTACAGAATGAATTAATTGCTATTATATGCATCCAAGATTATAAAAATTCAAAACATAAACTTTTCTTAATTTAAAATTTGCCTTAATTCAGACAGAAATAATACTGTTATTTACTAATTTTTAAATGTTTGTGCTAAGAAAAATACTACAAAAAGGTCTACTCTAGGGGGTATATTTATCTTACTTAAAAGAATAAGTCATCTGTGTTCGCTTCGGCTGCACATACACTAAAATTGGAACAGTGCAGATTAGCATAGCCCCTGCGCAAGGATGACTCAAAAATTCGTGAAGCATTCCATATTTTAAAAAAGTCATCTAAGTATTTCAGTCATGGCTATACAATTGATATGCTAATTACAAATAATTCTTATCTACCCCATGAAAATCCCTAAGAAGGAAGCAAGGAACTTTGTCTTTATTGTTCACTATGTATCCCTGAAGAGATGATACTTAATACTGAATTGAATAAATGTATTATTTAGGTGCTAGAGTAATCATTATTACGTTCACAAGTTTGGTGACCTGAACCCTGCCTCAGTGCTATTCATCCTTTAGTTCTCATATGAGATGCAACTTCCTCAGCTAAGTCTTCCCACGACCCTAAAATCTAGGGCATAGCTTAATGGAACCCTCAGCTTGCCCCATCCAAGCACTGATTTCATCTATTAAAACTATTTGTTTTAATTGACCAATTCCTCCATTAGGCTACAAAGCTACAGGGGACAAGGCTGATGACCAGATATCCGTTTGATTTCCCAAGGCCTCCATTTCTACTAGTACCCAGTAGGCACTCAAACATTTCATGAATGCTGAATCTCTGCAATAAATGGAAAATAAAGAATAGATTTATTCTTATTACTGGAATAATCTCCAACACACAATTGCTTACTACCTTTCAAAAAAAGCTCAGTTATGGAGGAGAATTGATCAGACACATAGAACTTCTACTTTTCTAATAACTTCTTCTAAATTAAGCCAAATTATCAGCGTCTTGAATCTAGATCCAGAAATACTGATAGCACCACCCCGTAGAATTACTTCTATTGAAATAGGCTTGAGGGAAGTTATAAGGAATAGTATAAAATCAATCACTTTTATTACAAAGGTATTATTCAACATATAGTCTCTTCTCCAAGAGAATACATGATAGGTTATCATTTGTCACTTTTGTTTTTGTTCAAACAATCTGTTTTAACTTGTATGGGCTCAGTGATTATATTTCTCTCAAGTTGGCTGCTCGGTATTCTGAAAATCAAATTTGAGGGCTGCCTGCATCAAATACCTGATGTGCATTTTGTGTACTTATCCAGCCTTCATTTTATGTAATTTATTATCCTTATTTCCCATTCTCATCTTTTCTCCTTACTTTTATTTATTTTTTATTAAATTTATTGGGGCAACATTGGTTAATAAGATCATATAGGTTTCAAGTGTTCACTTCTATAATACATAAAAATGTCTCCTTACTTTTAAATGATTTTATTTTGTTCCTACATTTATAAGCCACCATGAATCAATTAATGGCTTATAAACACACATTTGCTTTTACTTTAGTAGCTCTTTGTGAATTCTACCACTGTTCTCTTAATTGTTAGGCTCTCTAACAAAACTGGTATGTGCTCCTCGTTTGTGTTAACTGGGACCTTGGAGAAGTCACTTCATCTGTCTCTGCTTCCTTAAAATGAGAATAAAAAATAGTACTCACTTCATAGGGTCGGTTATGAGTAATATATGATGTATATAGAACTACTAGAGGCCTGGCGCATGAAATTCGTGCGCGGGTACGGTCCCTAGGCCTGGCCTGCGATCAGGGCCATCTTCCCCGGCTGTCCACAGCCGGCCCCGCCCTTCGCTGCCACCCACCCCCAGTTCCCGTTTGCCATCAGGTGATTGGAGCCTGCCAGCCAGGGGAGGAACCGAGAGGTTGGCCATTTCCTCCCACCCAGTGGCCCTGCCCCCGCTGCGGGTTGCCCTCTGTGTGTGGGGCGACTGATGGGGTGGGGGCCTCAGTCTGGTGCCACCCATGTTCCCCGCCACCCACCCCCAGTTCCCTGTTCGCCATTGGGCGATCAGAGCCTGCCAGCTGAGGAAGGGGACCAAGAGGTGGTCAGTGCGCCTCATAGTGACTGGTAGAGTGTTTGTTCTGCCATTAGGGTCAATTTGCATATTACCCTATTATATAGGATACCCTGCATTTACTGTTATGAAGGTATTAGTTATTACCACCTTTATTACTCTCCAATTCACTGATTAAAATGACAATTAGAACAAGGAATGACACTAATCCTTCTACTTTGACACTGATCCAACGACACTGGTTTATGCTGGTTCTAGACTTTGTCAAATGCCTTGTTATAGATGAGATATATGACATCCTTCACTAAAGTACACAAATTACATAAACAGGATAGTCATAAATTATGCTACTATTAATCTACAGGCAAGAATTTATTGAAACTAAAGAGGTGGCTTTGTGGAAAATGGATGGAAAGGACAAAGGAAGTTAACGTACTCACTGAAAAATAACTAAACTTAAAAATCTAGTTAAATTACTCCATCATAAATTTTTTAGAAGACTGGTTTAAAATTTGTTAAATAACTTTTACAATTCCAAACTACTTTTAAATGCATTAAAATAAGACCTCCATAATAAACAACCAAAAGTAACAACTATTTTATAACACTTGGGGATGCACAGCAAAATGGAAAAAATATGCAGGACCTGAAGAACCAGGCTCAGGCCTGGCTTTACCACTTCCTGGATACTTAACTGTGGCTGACCTCTGAGGTTCTATAACTACTAGTCAGTACAGTTTTATTCATCTTCAATCCTCATGACAGGGACGGGGGTGAATAACTAACTTGCAGTGCTATAGTGAGATTTAATGAAGTATACACAAAAAGATCTTAAACCATAAACTGTGATAGAAGCTATTACCATTTAAAAAATAAAAAGGGGGATAAACGTACTTAGAATACTAGTACATTATCCCCCTTTTTACTTTTCCTAGCCTTAATATTATTTAGAAAACCTCTTTCACAGAATAAATGCACTTTTAAGGTTTTAGGCTCTTAAAATATAGCTACACAGGTAACTTTGGGGTAGAAAAAGGCAAGCTAACCACACGGGTCTTAAGTTACTTCACAGACTGGATTCTACGTAATATATACCCAAACTACCAGTGTAGCTAGGTGAATGTGGGTCCATTTGTGATGTGGTTCCAACTTCATGTTTGTTCTGTTAAATGCTGTACTGTCAATGCATCCATTAGCTAACGTTATGATGATAGCCGACCTGCACCTCCGAACCAGTTTGCTAAAAGCTTTATGGTTAGTATAACCCTTGAATTGGAAAGTCTGCTTCCCTTAGGCCTCTGATTTATTTAACAGCGGTTCTCAACCTGTGGGTCGCGACCCCTTTGGGGGTCGAACGACCCTTTCACAGGGGTTGCCTAAGACCATCGGAAAACACATATATAATTACATATTGTTTTGTGATTAATCACTATGCTTTAATTATGTTCAACTTGTAACAATTAAATTGGGGGTCACCACAACATGAGGAACTGTATTAAAGGGTCGCAGCATTAGGAAGGTTGAGAACCACTGATCTAGAATATGTTGACTCTTAAGTTCAACTGCAATTTAAATAACCTATTCCCGTGGTCGGCAAACTGCGGCTCATGAGCCACATGCGGCTCTTTGGCCCCTTGAGTGTGGCTCTTCCTAAGCCTTAGGAGTACCCTAATTACGTTCATAACAATGTACTTACCTATATAGTTTAAAAAATTTGGCTCTCAAAAGAAATTTCAATCGTTGTACTGTTGATATTTGGCTCTGTTGACTAATGAGTTTGCCGACCACTGACCTATTCTATCTAAAATTCTTCATAATGTAGAAGGACCATTAATGTAACGATTCCGGAAAAACAGCAGTATTAATGAAAACTATTTTTACTTTTTTAAGCTCTCCTGTATGGAGCGATACTCCAGGCGCAGTGCACACACCATCTCACGTAAACCATCCTAACCACTAGCACACAGGTGTTAACACAATTTTACAAGCCAGCTTGTCTCATCTTTAGCTAGGACTCTTACCAGTCTACTCTCGACATGCCCCAAAACTTGCTTTATGAATGAATATCCGTGCCTGCAGTAGGGTCCCTACATTTTACTAACTTTCAACCTCATTTCAGTTACCTGCTTTTTCACCTGCGGCTGTCAGTCCGCTTAATAATGAAAATGCTTTCTTCTTCTTCAGGTAAATAGAAAATGACGCAAGAAAAAAAACACGGCAGGAGAGAGTAGGTACAGAAATTCAACAGCCTCTGCCCCCTCTGGCCGACGTCACAATAACAGTAACATTCAACAGCAAAAGCTTTCGAAACGCGTCCCAGGGGCAACGGGGCATCCTTTACCGCACCATCTTGCAAGTTCCCAACTCGGGGAACTTTCCTGATGGTTCAGGGTTCTTAACCCAAAACTCAAGTCCAAACTTTGAGCCAACAACTTAGGTCACTTTACGGTGTTTGTCGAGCTTCCTTCAGTGTCTGATTCTAAACGTTTAGGCTCACTCTCCAGGGAGGGCTCGGGGATCAGAGTTTGGGACAACCACAGCCCGTCCAGCGGTTCTCAACCTGTGGGTCGCGACCCCTTTGGCGGTCCAACGACCCTTTCACAGGGGTCGCCTGAGACCATCCTGCATAGCAGATATTTACATGACGATTCATAACAGCAGCAACATTACAGTGATGAAGTAGCAACGAAAATAATTTCATGGTTGGGTCACAACATGAGGAACTGTATTTAAAGGGCCAGAAGGTTGAGAACCACTGCTAGGCGAAGCCGCGCACAGCCCCTGGGAAAGGGGCAGCACGCGCGGGAGCAGGAGAGAGAGGCCAGGAAGGCGCCCAGGTCCGAGCAGCGGCCGGTCCCGGCCTGGGTCCCGGGCGGGATGCCCGGCCTTCCACCTGTCCCCAGGGAGCGGCCGAAGTCCGGGAGGGTGGGCGAGCTCCTCGGGAGCCCCAAGTCCAGGGAGGAACAGCGGGGCGAGTCGTTGGGCCCGAACAGCACGTCCTGGTCGATGGTGCTGAGAGAGGCCGCGCCCTCCTTCCCGGCAGCCTCGAC